GTTATGGCGTTTTTTTTCGAACATGAAATCAATTTCCTGCGTTCTTTAATTGAAAACTGCTTCAACGTTTGTGTATTGATAAATCGCGGCTTCTCGACTCACACTTTTGTGGAGATTATTTTTTTGAAAAAGGCGTTTAGGAAGAGACGAAAAACCTATGTGTTCAGACTAGTTTTTCACTATACAACGGCTCATTACAACATAATAATAGTAATTCAACTTGAAAATTCAATTGTTTGTTTGTGCGGAGAGGGGGGGGGGGTAGGACAGACAGAAAATAGCATTTAAATGCTCCTCGTAGAACTTCGTGTACAAAATTGCAACACGTTGCATTTTATTGATAAAAATTCGAAAGACTTAGCATAGAATAGCTCAATCTAAGAAAGTAGCTTAATCAGATAATCTAATTTTGTTTGCTGGAAAAGATCCGTTGGTAGGATTGGTCGAAATGAAGGAAATGGTGGGGGCAGCACTGTGTGTACGACTGAACATCTGGTCAAAATGTTTGTCCACTTTTTCTCTATTGAGGACGAGCGACGCTACTTCAGACAGTTTTGGATGGCATCACAAGTTGGTAAAACGTTCTCTTTTCTTAGGCCGGCCCTACCCCTACCCACTGCATGGGTTTCTTTGGGAGGGGGCTGTCAAGCATCGTGAGGAAACTCATTGATGTTACCATGTAAGGATATGCAGAACAAATCTATTCATAATTATTAGTTTTAAAAGCAGTTTTCCATCATTGATAACTCTTAAATTTATCTCTAGTAGCTTAATGCTATAATCAGTCTAAATTTATTCTTTGTTGTTTTGGCAATACTTATAGATCTAAATTTAGACGATGTTGTTGCTTTCTTGACTTTAGTTTTGTATGGGTTCCATTTTGGCTCTTTCCCCCAGATTTGAATTTCTATTGTGGAAAACTGCTTTTAAAACTAACAATTATGAATAGATTTGTTCTGCATATCCTTACATAGTAACATCAATCATTTAGCCATTATAGCACCAAAAACAACTAGAAAACAGAAGCTTTGAAAGCGCTTTTCCAGTTCTTCCCCCTTCAAATTCAATTTTGAAAAGCTTATTTAACGTTGTCATAGTGCAATGAAAATTGACGTGGTGAACAAATCGACAACTGTGAACAGATTTGTTCTTCATACTTTACAGCGTAACATCACGCATTTAGCCGTAATAACACGTAAAGTAAACATAAAACTAGGTATTTTGAACGGGGGAATGAAAAAGAGCCGCTTTGTCTCTTTTCCAGTTCCCCCCCTTTTCAAAATACCGAGTTTTATGTTTGTTTTACGTGTTATTACGGCTAAATGTGTGATGTTACGCTGTAAAGTATGAAGAACAAATCTGTTCACAGTTGTCGATTTGTTCACCACGCCAAATTTCATTGCATTATGATAACGTTAAATAAGCTTTTCAAAATTAAATTTGAAAGGGGGGGGGGAAATGGAAAAGAGCCGCCGCTTTGAATGTTGGGGCGAAAGTAGAAAAGAGCGCCATATTTTCCAACTTGACTCACACTATATTCTGTGCAACTTTTTTCTCCAATTCCAATGTATGTGCTGAAAACCCGGCGGATGTTCAACAAACCGCAATATCTACAAACTGCCATATCTTGAAGCCGAAATTGCATCAGCATAACGCTAACGTTGCATAACAACAGTAGGCTTTTTTAATTTGCCTCCTCTCCACATTTGAAATTCAGTTATGAAAAATCTCGTTTATAAGGCTCGTTGTCTTCATTTTTCAAAATCCAATGATTAATTTTTTTCCAATACTCGAATTTTTTTGTGAATGTTTTTTAAAATAAAAATCTGTTTTTTAAAATCCATTTTTTGAGATATTTTGAAAAACAGAATGAATATACTCAAAATGATGGCAACTATTGCTACACTTTAAGGAAAGAATGTTGGTAATTGGTTCGGTTTGAATTGCTCATTATCATAACTTTTTTATTTTTGCTCATTATCAATTTCCTTCAATTAAGTTCTCTCGATATGTTCTTCGATTCCGAATATTTACGTTTTTTTTAAGACTAATTTACTTCGGGCGAGCACAAAACAATCGATTCCGAATATTTACGTTTTTTTTAAGACTAATTTACTTCGGGCGAGCACAAAACAATCTTGCGCAAAACAATATTTTGAAAAACAGAATGAATATACTCAAAATGATGGCAACTATTGCTACACTTTAAGGAAAGAATGTTGGTAATTGGTTCGGTTTGAATTGCTCATTATCATAACTTTTTTTATTTTTGCTCATTATCAATTTCCTTCAATTAAGTTCTCTCGATATGTTCTTCGATTCCGAATATTTACGTTTTTTTAAGACTAATTTACTTCGGGCGAGCACAAAACAATCGGTCTTGTCCAAATGATTTTTAGGGGCATTATGGCTTATTTTTGATAGTGATTAATAAAATACTCCTGCTACTCACAAAAGTGACATAATTAAAGAAAAAGATGACGCAAATTTTTGGTTTTTGTTCCGACAACGAAAGTAACGGAATATTTGTGCTCGGTGGGTTTTTTTCTTTAGACAAATTTTGACTTTTTAACTAGCCATTTTTGACAAAATTTGTAAATATCATTCAAAAGGTATTGTTTCCTGAGCTTAAATTTGAAAAGATATTTCACCTGTGGTCATTTTTCGTAAAGTTATGAGGGTTTAAAGATTGCCATTTAGGCCAATTTTGGACAATTAACGCGCGATATATTTCGCGCTATTAACGCGTAAGCGGAGATTCAATTCGTCTTAGAAATTGTTCCAAATTGGTTGAAGGAAGCTTGTTTGATTTAATTGGTTGGTTATTAGGAGCAAAATCTATCACTGTGTATTTTATATGGTGTGGGGGGATGATTTTCAAAAAAAATCTCAAATTATATATATTTTTTTATTTTGTTTTATTACATTCAATTATTTCAAGTTATTTTTGCTTCATAGACTTTACAATGCAGTCGGAACATTGAGGGCTTTGAACTGATACGAGCAGTCTGGTTCCGATTTTAAAATTCATTACTGTTGTAAAGTTCTTTGATACTTGTACAGTAATTGGCATTTCTTCTTCAATTTATCACCATAGCTTTCACTGATATTATCTTTTTCTCCTATCTTGCTGTTGCTCGATGTATCTTGCGATAAGAATTGTGTAGTTTTTCAATGGTATAAAATATAAGTTCGAAGTTTCCATTTGTAAATATTTTTTAAAGCTGCATTTTTCTATCTGTTTCCTTTTTAACGTTTTCATAGATGTCCGAGTGTGCTGAACCTGGCATATGATATGTGAATTTTAGAGTTTTGAACTCAACTCAGTAAGTTTAGAAGAAAGTCTGTAACAGATCCGATGTTTTTAATCTTACTACACGGAAGTTGAAATGTATTTGAAAATCTGGAATGCCTTACAAAACGATCACTGTAATCTTAAATTCATTTAATTATTTGGTTCTTAAAACCAAATGTTCTGGTGTGAAACAACAAAGTATGAAAATGTAATGTGTTATAGAGAGTTGCGAAAAGTTGGAACAGACAGAATTTAAAAAGCAGATCAAATGATCTATTTCAGAAAGTTTTGCATGCAAAAGCTCGTTTTTTAGACAGAAAGTATAAATCAAGGTGACCTAAAAACTCAAATTTGAGTGCAAAAATTGCTCAAATTTGGCAGATTGCTCTTTTTAATTATTTTTGTCTGTTTCAATTTTTTGCGACTAATTATATGTGCACATGTTGCGCTATTACTGCTATTGATATTTATATACCATCAGTGGTTCACGAATAGTTTTTTAATCGTAAATTATGAACAATAGCTGCGATGGCCGAGTGGTTAAGGCGTTGGACTTGAAATACAATGGGAGTTTCCCGCGTAGGTTCGAACCCTGCTCGCAGCGAAAATTTCGTTCTTTTGCCTAGAAATTGAAAAAAAATTAAAGGCTTTTTATGTTTCTTATTGTTTGCTGAATCAAATCTGTAAAAATTTTACTCTCTGTTATCAAAGGCGGCTCGTCTCCACCTCCCCCCACACATTTTTGTTTCAATATTGAAAAACTGTTTTAACGTTGTTATAATGCAATGAATTTTGGCAGTCTGAACAAACTAACTGTTGTGAACAGATTTGTTCATCATACTTTACATCGTAACATCAGGCATTTAGCGAAACAAAATATCTCGTAAAAAAACTATGAAATCGGGAAACTTGAAATGGGGGGGGGGGGGGAGTAGAACAAAACCTCAAATGCTAATAAAAATACCACTTGGTTTGTCTTATCTGTTTTTTGAAGCCACTCAACCTAAAAAAAAAGGGTCAAAATTTCGAGTTTTTTGAAACTCCGCCCCCCTCTCCAGAAAATCCTAGACCGCCCCTGTCTGAAGCAACAGCGGATTTTTGTTTCCTTTCTGCTTTTCGGTGTCCACTATCAGATTGATGTTTTAAGGTTATAGTTTATTTTTACCTTTCTTTTAAAATGTATATGCTGTTTCAGGATTCAAAAGACTTGATAACTCTACAAGATCTTTTCAAGATACTGTCCAAGTGGCTACAGCTGGACATTGGCCAGAAAACTTACTTGGAGTTTCTGGATCTATCAGGTCTGCTGGTGGCGCGGTCTGGAGATCGTATGGTGGAACTACAACAAGAGAAGATCTCATTTGCAGGAATTTTCTTCTTTTCCCGCTCTTTTGATTACAGGGCTTTTGCTCTCTTTGTTTTTTTCCTCATCTGAAATGCATGTTATCTTAAATCATTGATGAATGAGTTCAGGTGGAAGTTAAGAACCCGCATTGGATCAAAATCAACAGTTTGACTTGAATGTTACCCTTTCTCCCTGCTTAATGCTAAGATTGCAAGTAATAATGTATTTTTTGAAAAAGAAATAAAAAAGAACATACTTTTGCTTTTTAAAAATCATGGCTCTTTGAACTTAATGCTATTAATTTGTTGTAAAAATCTGGTTAAATTCGAAAGGGAAAGGAAAAAGAAATATCTCTTAGACATGCAACGAGGAGCAGCAGTTCTAAGTGGTATCAAGTGTCACGAGAGGAGCTGTGAGCAGAACAGTATCATCAGTCCCCCTCTCTTCTCGCCTTCTACAAGTGTTGGCGTGCACTTGGTCAGGAGCACTCCTTCGTCCACCTCGAGTGACAGACATTCGTTGGAGGGCGTGGCCGGATCACCTGGTGAATGATAAATAATAACTTAAAAGGTCGTCAAATGAGTGCGACTCTTCTGAGCAAAAGTTGACTACTTCTAAATAACAATTTACTTCGAAAAAAGGGAAAATTTGATATCGGCGCAAAAAAAAAATATTTAACGTGAAGGTAAGAAGATATACTTTTTTGTCTTTGACGATTGTAATTAAATAAGGCATGTGGACAATTATTAGACCCTAAACGTATTTTATCTTCATCGGTTCTTTTCCCCATGTATAATCTATTTAAGTCTTCCGTTTAAAAACGCTTTAGTATGTATGCTCTTGTAGTTGCTCCGTGTGCTTGTTTTCCTGCAATGGTTGTTTTCGCTCGTTTAGACAAATTGGAAAAATCGCAGGCCAGTTGTGCGTCCTATCCAAACCATAAGCAGCATAATTCTCATGGACAGAACAACAACCACAACTCTAGTCTGAAGAGTATCAAGAGTGAGATGAAAGGGTTCCTGAGGAAGAGACTGAACAAGGCACTCGCTCAGAGGGGATTCGTAAGTCACATTTCAACTAAATGTGTTTGCTTTCGTGTTGTTTTTCGATAGCTTAACCCGTTCTAGAAAGAACGCTGCGTGCAATGTTTGATTTCATTTTTTTTTCTGTGTGTTAAAGTTTGGTAATTTGCATCTCGAACTCAATAACAATTGATGTCTTTCAAGTATGTTTTCACCCATGTAGAGTTATGCGCACTTTTTGGGTTTTGGTTTAAATCAAAGCAAGTTTATTGCATGTTTAAACGAAAAAAATTTCATGTATTTAAGTCGTGTTTTTTTTTTCAGGAAAGTCCTAAATGATGAATGGTTTATCATTCGTTGTTTTTTGAGCTGTGTTTTTACCTTTGACTACGGCGTGCATGAACGTTTTAAATAATGTCTCTCCTTCGAGCTCGCGTAAATGGACTTAATTGCTGTTACATATTCATATCGAAATGCGACAAAGTTCTCTTGCCTGAAGTTTATTTAGGTTTAATTTTGCTTTTAATTGATACAATTTTGATCATATAATATTTGTTAATTAATTTTTTTGTGGTTGTGTTAGTCTCCGAGCACTTCATTTTCAAACATCTCAAATTTGGGCACATCTACATCGTCGCCATCAGCGAGGCAGACCAACAAAATGGACTCGACTGGAGCTCCACAGAGAACTCCACCGACGAAGTCTAACAAAACCAAAATCATCCCCGAGAGAGGAAACATCGCATCCACCAGGCAGGTTTTTTAATGTAAAATTGTGCTACATAATGATTATGTTGAATACATGTTTTTAGAAATGTAAACATGTTATCTTGAGACATGTTAAATGTAGTTTTTTGAACAGATATTATTTTTGTTAGGGGCAGAGAGTTGATTTATGAGCTGTAAATTGATAATGTCGAAATTTATTAGGTCTAAAATGACAAGGTTATAAACATTATCGTGAAAATTAGATGTTGTTTTTTCAAGTTTTTTGTTTGGTCCTAGATTCATGTCAGTTAATCATGAAAAGTTTTTGTTCATAATAATTGTAATTTTTTGCAGTCCTTCTAACCACAGTTTCCTGCCGACTGACGAGCGTCGAAAGATCTACCAAAGTCCAGATTTTGTGGATCAATCTCAGAAGCGACTGGCCAAGGCAGTGATGATCATTTAAAGTCAACAATTTACGCTTAATAAGTTTTTGAAGAATTGATTTGTACTGGTTATTTTACGAAGCCAATATTTCGTTTGGGCACAATGATTGAGTGAAAATTGAACTAGATTAGCTCTACAGATGGAAAAGTTTTTAAAGTTTAAATGAGAGTGAACGTAGTGAAGTCACAAATTTTGGTCGTTTTTTTTTCAATTAATCTGAACATTCAATTCTGCATGGATTTCGACAATTTGACTTTTAAAACTGCTGCTAAGTTAAGTTTCCAAGAGCAGCTCGAATTGATCTTTTCATTAACAACATTGTAATAAGCTCAAAGATCACTCTTCTTTTACCCTTTCAAAAATTCAAAAATAGTTTATAATTGAAACATAATTGTATTTTTTGCGGATTATTGATGATGAGCTAGTCTGAATTCTATAAATATTTGATCAATTTTCAATTTTTGTTCCGACAACTTCATGAAGAGGAAAGGAACTTTGGCGTAGGTTCTGTTTTTTAGCTCATTTTGATTAATTGAAAGAAATCTCGTAGAGAGTTGTTGTTAGCGCGGGGTCGGATTGGGCTCGTCCAGGATCCAGACGACGCCGCCTTCCAGTGGTGGATCCGACATCTTGGGCCCCACCAAGATGCAAATGGCGTCAAGCCCCCCCTCCCATTGGGTCGGGAGAAGCTCCGAAGTCTCCGGGTTTTCGGTTACGGAGCGTCTGAAGCCGGCCAGGCTGCTCCGTCTGCTCATCCTTATACTACTACTCCGCTCCGGCATTAATCCAAACCCTGGTCCAGGGCCTTACTTTTGCTCCCCTTGCTCTTTCCGCATCAAACGCACCCAGCCCAGCGTCTGGTGCCACATCTGTGGTTACATTCACCTTAAATGTAGTGGTCTTACCCACCTTAACCAACACCACCTTGACTACTATTGCCCTACCTGTACCTCTACCTACATTTTACCTCCCCCAGGCACCAGGTCCTCTAACTTGACCACCCCCAACTCCCAAACTTGTTCAACTTCCCTAACCGCCCCCCAACCCCACCTCCCTAACCCCCCTCCCCCTCCCACCCTTCCCACCTCCTCGAATAATAATTCCTCCTCCCAAAATCGCGCAAATCGTAATCGTGTAAATAGTGTAAATAACTCAAGTTCAAACAACCATTTTAATCATACTGCTGTTAATAATGTAAATAGTTCACCACACCCTGCCAAAGGCCTTTTAAAAATCCTTCAATTTAATTGCAACGGTATCTCCGGAAAAGCACCCGAAATTGCTGCTTTCTTATCTCAAAATCAAATTCATATTGCTGTCTTCCAAGAAACTAAATTAAGAAAGAAATCTCGAAACCCCTCACTTGGCTCACACTACACTTTAATTAGAAAAGATCGAGAAAAAGAAGGGGGCGGTCTTCTCATAGCCATACATGAGTCGATACAATACGAAGAAATAAATATTAACAACGATGGAACACTAGAGGCTATGGGCATATCAGTGGTAGCCAGTTCATCCAAGCTTCGTATTTATAATTTCTACATCCCCCCTCGCTCGAGCTGTCCCCCTGGTTACTCTGCGTCCCTTGCCGAACTACTTGAACCTGGGGACGCCTTAGTACTCGGAGATGCCAACGCACATTCGCAACTATGGAACTCCAACATCGAGGAAGATCAACGCGGCTCTGTACTTAGCAATGAAATAACCGAATCCACCTTTGCTCCATTAAATGATGACACACAAACCAGAGTCCCTTTTAACTCAGAAAACCAACTCTCGTCACCAGATATTTCCCTCGCATCCCAATCGCTCTTACTCTCCACATCATGGACCCCAATTAAATCTCTAGGCTCAGATCACCTACCCATTCTTCTAGAACTACCCTTGGATGATTTTATAAATTTTTCGCCTAAAAGGACTTTTGTAAATTTTTTAAAAGCAGATTGGATCAAATTCACAGAGGAAATTGAGGAGGGTTTCTTTTCAGCGGTTCCACCTTCCGGAGTTGCCGCTGGAGAGAAATTCTTGAGGGACCTGGTGCTCAGGGCAGCACGCCACCACATCCCCGCTGGCCGTATTCGCCACTTCACTCCCTCTCTTTCCCCCGAGTCCACTGCCCTAGCCGCCGAAAGAGATTTAAGCCGAAAACAAAATCTCCCCCCAGAAGTCATATCCCAACTGAACTGTAGACTCATGAAACAGACAGCAAAGGACAAAGAAAATAAATGGCGAGAATTCCTCCGGACTTGCGACTACCGCACTGGTGCCAGAAAGTTCTGGAAAGTGGTACGCTCCTTAAATGGATCTAAGCCCGTGGCAGGAAGACACCCCATTACTTTTGGTTCTAAACCCATACACTCACCTCGTGATATTACCAGCTCTTTTAACAAACAATTCACCAATGCCAGACCCCACGCCTCTGACAAACTCCTTCGTATAACGAGAAGAAAAATTGCCAAACTACCACTGTCAGACAGCCCAATTTTTACCCCTGAAAATACTAAACAAGCCATTGCAGACAGCAAACCATCGCGAGCGCTAGGTCCCGACGGCCTCTGTAATATCCATCTTAAACATCTCGGCCCACTTGCTACTCAATACTTAACATACCTTTTTAATATCTCTTTGTCCGAAAACATTATCCCCCAAATTTGGAAAAATTCAAAAATTGCACCGCTTCCAAAGCCCAATAAGGATCTTAAACAATCAACATCTTACAGACCTATATCCTTACTCTGCCCAGCAGTTAAAATTCTGGAGAGGCTCGTTCACCCCATCTTTACCAAACATCTCCCCAACGCCAAACACCAACACGGCTTCCGCCCTTTTCACTCCACCACCACAGCTCTCTCCACTCTCGAATTTTACATTTCAGACGGTTTTAACCAAAATCGCCCCCCTAAACGTACGGTACTGGCCACACTTGACTTATCTAAGGCTTTCGACATGGTGTGTCATCGCTCACTTGTGGAACTCGTTCATGACACTCCCCTCCCAAGAAGTCTAGTCCGCTGGCTAAGTAATTACCTTAATGGTCGACAGGCTGCCACCTCATTCCGTGAACACACATCCCCCCATCGAATAATCCACTGTGGCGTACCCCAAGGTTCTGTTTTATCACCCACACTCTTCAATTTTTATGTCCATGATGCACCGCCACCTCCCGATAATGTAAACCTTGTTTCGTATGCAGACGATTTCCACCCCTTCGCAAGCAGTTCCAATATTGATATCGCCTCAAACTCCCTCAATAGCTACCTAAAAAGGCTCTACGATTTTTTCACCTCACGCAAACTAAGTTTCGCGTCCTCTAAAGGATCAGTTACACTTTTCTCCTCTTATAACAAAGAATTTAATAAAACACCTAGTGTTCTTTTAAATAACGAGGCGCTACCCCTAAACAAAAATCCAACAATCTTAGGGGTGACATTTGATCCAACACTTTGTTTTGCCACTCACTGCAAACAATCCGCTGAAAAGGCCAGACGCAGGATCGGAATCCTGAAGGCATTAGCAGGATCAACCTGGGGTCACTCCAAAGAAACCCTCCTCCTAACTTTTAAAGCTTTAATTCGCCCCATACTTGACTATGCAGCCCCCGCATGGTCCCACGCATCAAGTAACACCTCCATAAATTGCCTGCAGGTTGCCCAAAACCAATCCCTTCGCGTTGTTACTGGATCAAATCTAATGAGTTCAACTGCCCACCTGCACAGTGAATCTGAAATCCTAACGGTCAAAGACCACCATACCCTTCTGTCATCTCAATTTTTTATCTCTACCTATCGTTCCCACCATCCCATTAATTTTATACATTCACATCCCCCTCCTCCCCGTCTACTTCGCCCCTCAATTATAAGCTGCTTCAAAGAAGACACCCAGAAAATTTTAACCGACTTTTCAGTCTACGCAAACCACCCTCTAGTTCTGGACGACCGAGACGAAGTCTCCACTTTTATTTTTAACTACTACAAACCAATTTTAAAAGACAACCATACCTCCCTTGTAACCAAGTTCCTAGCCGAAACCCCTCCGTCTAAAGTTATTTGTATCCCTCCCCCAAAGATTGACCCCTCTGAAAAATCTCTCCCACGTCCCACGCGCTGTAAGCTCTCCCAACTCCGGTCTGGCTACAGCCGGCTCCTTAACACTTACCTATCCCGCCTCGACAGCTCCATCTCCCACCTTTGCCCAACCTGTTCCCTTGCCCCCCACACAACATGTCACCTTTTCAACTGCTCCCAAAACCCCTCCCCACTCACCCCAGCAGACCTGTGGCTTCGGCCGGTAGAGGTTGCTAAGTTCCTTGACCTGGAGACAGAAGAGCCCAACCCGACCCGCGTGGGCTAACAACAACAACAACATTGGGCTCGTCCTTCTCCAGGCTCAGAACTTCGCGGCATCCACCGGCTGAAGCCACAAGTCTGCAGGGGAAAGAAAGGAAGGATTTTTGGGACAGTTGAAAAGATAGCAATTAGCGTAGAGTGCACGTGAACAGGTTAGGCGTAGGCGGAAATGGAGCCATCGGGTCGGGAAAAGTAAGTGTTTAAAAGCCGTCTGTAGCCGGAACATAGTTGGTTGCGCGTAATGCGGATAGTTCAGGAGAGGGATTGCTCTGCAGGATAAATTTTTGATGGAGGAATACAGATAACCTTGGAGGGAGGAGACTTCGTTTAAGGGAAGCGTAATCAAGTAAGAAGCAAAACTTTGAGTCCCTCAGCGGTAGAAGCTCATCGTTAAAACAATATTAGGTACCTACTTATTATAGTCTTTGTCGCAAGACGGAAGAAGGTTACTTATATTTGAGATAACTTTGTTTGCAATAAATTTTGCTCACGAAAGTTAAGCAGAGTCGTATAGAAGCTGCAGGCAGCCATTCAACAAGTTAAATGCTTGCTCGATCTCTGAGTTTTGGGTGGAAAGGATGAACTTTGTCCGCGTGTGAGGAAAATTGAGCATTGTCTCATGGAAATTTTGACATAAGGGTATCTTGGACATAAAAATTGAAAAGGTAGGGTGATAGTACTGAACACTGGGGAAGTCCACAGTGAAATATTCAATGGCGGTTGACTGTTCGGGATGGCGTCCATTTAAATAGTTTCTGAGCCAGCGTAGTAAGCATCTTAGGAGCAGTGTGCCATCAATTATTTCCACGAGTGTTCGATGACCCACAATGTCGAAAGTCTTTGAAAGGTCTAGTGTAGCAAGGACAGTGCGTAACAGAGGGCTTTTCTGATTAAGGCTGTCAGTGACGTAAATTTCGACGATTGAAAGTGCAGTGGTAGTGGAATTAATTGCCGAAAACAATCTTGATGCTTGCTAGATGTTGAGTGAAAATGTAGGCCTCTGTGACGTTCACAGCTTCAATTCTTCATCTGGTTTGTACAGAGCTTTGATGTTCAAGTGTTTCAAGGTTTAAGGGATTGTTTTCAGACAGCGCGTTGTTAAAAACGAAAGGTTTAGTAATGCGAGGCCAGAGGACCGAAATTTTTCAAGTGCATATTGCATAGGCTATCCGGACCGAGTACTCGGGAAGGTTTGTTATCCCCAATGATTAGTTAAATTTGCAGTGGGGAAACCGTAGTGTTACTTGATATATTGAGTTCGACTATTTTTCATCGCGCTGTACAAAGTGGTTTGTCTGAAATGTGGGTGCTTGCGTTGCTGAACTGTTTGTTGAAAGCGTTAACTATATCTAGTGGGAATATGGAATGGTGCATTACATTACCCATTTCCTTTTTAATCAGTGTAGTCGAATCGTTTTGTGCATTCGACTGTCCATGTAAATTTATGATTTCTATTGTTACCGAAGAGATTATTTCAGGCTATTCAGAGCGTGTAAGATTCAAACAGGATGTCCGTGGGCTTTGGCGAAATTTATGACATTTATATCCCCTATGGAAGCAAGGCCCAAGGTACTAAGGATAAATTTGGGTCAGTTGGGGGGGATTGAAAATATCGAATTGATTTTTGCAGCCGTTGTTTGATAATCAAAATAAATAAATTTTCATGCTGAGCATCTAACATGCTCATCACTTGTCCAAGGTCATGTACCCTCCGTTCGTTACCCAATACCCATCAGAAGACGAGGATGAAGGAGAAGGGAGAGGAGAGAGTAATAAAAAGTTCATGAGACGAAAGAGTTTTCATACCTCGTCTCCAAAAGGTACCGTCTTCTTTTTATTATCTAAATTTCAAATCCGTTTTTTCTTTTTAAGGACCTAACGAACAAAGAACTTAATGTTGTAGTTAAGTTGATGAAATCGGTCTCAGCTTGAAAAATTTCATATTTTTGCATATTTTTTTGATCTGCTTCACAAACACAGTGTAATATCTCTATTTCTGTCGGTTAGTTTATCATGCTATGTATGTGTTGTATCGCAGTTAGTAGATTTCGGACTTAAGCAATTTACATATTTTTTTGAGAAACACTTACGAAATTGTTTTTTTTTTCATTTGTCGATTTATCGGCTCATCTGCGAGTGATAGTCATTCACTTTTGTACCGCAAGTGGTGTATAATATTGGAAATCAATAAAGATGTCTCAAATTTGCTCTGATGTGTCTTGGTTACTATCACAGGCAGGTGTAGGGCGAGAGGCTGACGACTGTCGCCATTTCGGCTCCCTTACGAATCACAGGCTCACCTGTTTGGTACTATTTTATGGCATTCTTAGACCGCCGACAAACCCTTAAATCTCTCCTAATGTTTCTCTTGTCGAAATAATATACTGAGATTGAAAGTGAGAGCTTTTTTGAAAACTGAAGAAAATTTACTATTCGTTTAGAAACAGTTTTTTGTCGATTTTTTTCAAATTTGTGGATGTTTTTGGTTGTAAAAAAACTCGGACGATGAATTCTGTTGACCTTATAAGGCCAAGCATAAATTTTGGGAAATCTCTAACGATGTAGATTTTAATGGTTTTTGCACTTGCTTTTTATTTCTAGATGTGTCAGGTGAAGAGGCCAGTTCTCGGTCCTTCTACTTTCAAAGAAGAAACAGTGCACCTTGTGATCCAAACAATCCCACAGGCAATGATATCTACAACCCCTTCGCACCAACTCGTCAGAGCAGTCTGATGGACGAAGACATCATGTGAGATATCGCGCATATGAAAAAATATGTATTCATGTTAGAAATTATTTAAGAAGGAATTGGTTTGTTCTCGCTGCTTGAGACCAAATATTAGAAACAGAAACTGAAATTTTACACTTGAGATTTGCAATGTTTATCAATTCAAGGACAAGGTTTTTCATGAAAACGGCTAGTTTTAAAAATCACTGACCAGGATTTAGTTTGATCAAAGTTTACATGATATCTTTGATAGCGTAGTTCAATTTCTTATATGGTCGTGATTTTGTTTTTTCAGGAAGTCTTAAAGTTTGTCTTTCGCGGTTTGACTTGTGATTTCTTTTCAAGTTCAGTGAATTTTGTTTGTTAAAAGGAAAGCAAATCCCACTATCGAACAGCGAAAGTGTAAAGGTCTTAAAAAACGTGATTGACTGCTAAATTTCGAAAATGGGTGGTAATTACCAAGTTTCCCTGCAAAAAAAACTTTCTGATCCATTTTTTTTTAAAATTGTTTTAGTTTTTATCAAAAGTATCAATTATAAATTGCTCTTGAAATTCAAAGAGCTTTAAGGCGGAAGCTTTTTTAATTATTAATTTTTTCTTTGCGTTCATAGAATTTTTTCTAACTGTCTCTTGGCTATGTTTTTTTTTTCTTTTTACTTGCGTTCCTTGACACTTTTTCAACTTTCTATTTGCTTTTTTATGAAAAAAGTCTCAAAACGCTCTTAAAATTACAGAAGTGCGTTTATACACTTGAGTACAATTCAAACTCATCTGCTTAAGATCGGGTGAATTGCGCTCTCCAATTGCGAACGCGCAGATGGCAAGAATTATTGTGAAAACTCTCTATTTGTACAGTTTTCGTAAAATAGGGTTAATTTTATCGAAAAAAGGAGTTAATCTTTATTGAAATTTAAAGGGCTCTAAACGTATCTTTGTTGTTCTTCGGAAGCTCAAAATTTTTCAATTGACTGGAGTTTTCTTTTTCAACCGGAATTTGATTTGGAATGAAAAAAGGAATTTAATCACAAGTTCTAGTCAATTTTATTTATGCAATTTTATTTTTTTCACTATTTGTTCGTAAGTTCGAATACTTCGAAGTTTTGAAGAATATTTATTGTTACGACTTTCGATACAAAAGTAACGGAATATTTGTGCTCGGGTGGGTTTTTTTTCTTCAGACAAATTTCGACTTTTTAACTAGCCATTTTTTACGGAATTTTTTTATACCATTCAAAAAGTATTGTTGCCCTGAGCTTAAATTTCGCCTGTGATTTTTTCTGGTAAAGTTATGGGGGTTTAAAGATTGCCATTTTGGCCAATTTGTGACAATTAACGCGCGATGTGTTTCGCGCTATTAACGCGTAAGCGGAGATTTAATCCGTCCTAGGAATTGTTCCAAATTGGTTGAAAGAAGCTTATTTGCCATAATTGATTGGTTACAAAGAGCTAAATCTATTCTTTTGTACTCTATATGACGTGTAGGGGGATGATTTCTGCAAAAAATCTCAAATTTTAGAGAAAAAAAATTTCATTTTGTTTTATTACTTTTAATTTTCTTGATGTTATTACTGCTCATGAAACCTCAAAAGGCAGTCGGAACATTAAGGGCTTCTCCCTGATACGAGCAGCCTTGTTATTATTTTAAATTATGATTGTCTTTTTTTGTTAGTTTGAATATCTAACTAATCAAGATCTAGCTGCTCAAACTTGATTTTCCAACTGGAGCTGAAATGCCGCTTTTTTTTTCGATATAAGTAAAATGACTTTCAAGCTGGGCTTCGCGTTAAGCTTCAAAATAAATTTGTTTTCCAGATTTGGGTTAAAAACGTTTTAAAATGGTACGATTAAAATTTTTGCCAGTCAAAAGGTCTCTCTGGAAGTGAAAAAAAAGGAAATTACGGAATTGTGATGTTGATTCTCGTTTGCTGGTATATCATTTTGATTTTCGTTTTAGTCGTGATTTGTAACATTCCGACCATTTGAACTTAAAGGTTATTTTCAAATTTGTGAACAATTTGAAAATATGTTTTTAGTGAAATCAAAGAATTCGTTTTAATTTTTGAAATCTCCAGTGAATTAAAAAAATATATCTGTTGATTCAGTTTTTTCAAATTGAGTGATTTATTGAGTTTATTATTAAACAGAGTTTCAACCAAGTTTTTTCAAGAAACATGTCAAATCTCGCGTTGGGGGCGTTCAACAGTGCTGAAGTACAACAGTGCCGAAAAAGGCGGGAAAATTTCAGAATAATTTACACGCATTTTCTAAAGAGCGGGAAATTACTGGCGCTAATTATCAAAGAAAATCACTCCAATTTTGGAGCCAATATGTCCGCAACTGCAAATTAAACAATTATTTTGGCGTCAAAACGTGTAAGCTGCAAATTTTCTCGCTCAAAATCTTTCAGTTTTACTTAAGATTGTAAACTATTGCTGTTTAATTTTTGATTGCCGCACATAATATGTTGAAATTTGTTCAAATTTTCGGCACTGTTGAACAAAGTTTTCATTTTCGGCAGTGTTGAACAAAGTTTTCATTTTCGGCACTGTTGTACTGCCCCCTCGCGTTTATTGACTCTTTTCCAAGTATCTGTTGGCTATTTTTATTTGTATTAACAAATGTATTGTAAGAAAAGTACACTTAGTTGGTAGATTCTGTGCTGATTGCAAAGCAAGTGGATGCTTTAATTCGATGCTTTAGGTATGAAGTACGGAAGTACATAGACAGGCATTTGGATAGAGTGATTCAGGAGACCCTTCAGCAAAATCAACATCATCAGACGACGAGCAAAAGTAAGGGGTTTAATTAAAGTTTACGTTTGGCTATTTTTTAATCGAAGTATATTACCGTTTTCTCCTCCCTTCCCTATAAAATCACAAGAATTATAAAAAACGAAATATTAAGTAAAGGTAACATTGTTTACCCTTGCGATAAGCAAGGGTATTGCAATCGGATACTAGACATTTTTTCCCGTGAACAATTTTATTCAGGACTTATCTAGACGTCTGGACTCATCTCTACCTTGTTTCATAATGTCTTAAAATTTCTTAGCGTTCCCGGCAAACTTAGCCTGGAGGTTACGAATCTGCCTGGGACGCCAATGCTCCTAGGGGTGATTCTGACCAGGACCTGTTATTTTTTTTTCAAACGGGAAATATTCTGTTTCAGATAAAATTGTCGGCCAATTATTTGTCTGCTTATCTGTTGTCGGCTTAGTTGTCACATCTCGGAATCGTTTTTGATTTGCTGCGCGAATTTTTCTTCACTTTTATTTTAGTGTATGATCTACGCCTACAATTTGTAATTTTACTTACCATGCCTTTGTTTTTCTTCCTTGTTTTTTTGTTTCGCTAAAACAAATTCCTCGGCCCAAATTATTTGGGCTTTTTTTTCATTGGGCAAATTACCTAATTTCGGGTTGTTTCAAGGGAAACTTAAGTTTCACGCTCCCATCGGCACTTTTCAGTTTGGTTTTTTGTTTACTAATCTGTTTGATGAAGTTTTTTGTTTTAAAAATTATTTGCAAATTTATTGGAAAATTTTATAGTTTTTCTCAGAAACTTCTACTGATTTTCCAAAAATGTGTAGCCATTGAAAGACCGCCCTCTTCCCTGTGTGCCTGTGTACTCTTCTATGGTCTTTTTCTTGACGCCTCTGTTTACGGCCTACAAAAATTGGGGGGTTCTTTGACCCATATTTTGATTTTTTTTAATTTTTGAAAAGCTCCACTGCATTAGTGGTAACGCCTAAATTATTTTCACACGTTAAGTTATGGGCCTCGGAATAGTCATGTTTTTGATTTTTGACCGTTTTATGAATATTTTCGACTTATCTCGAAAACTAATTTCTCAAATCTGATATTGTGGTTTCAGTGGAGATAATAGGCAATGGGAAGCTCCTCTGCATTAGTTTACATCACAAAAGGTTCTAGACAAGAAGTTATCGCACTAGGAAATGTCAAATTTTTTGAATGATTTTTTGACTGATTTTTCTTTTAATTTTGAATATTCTCAAAAACTACCCTGCCTTTTCTGAGATTTTGAGTTTAATCGAAACCACAGGTTTCGTAAATCCTTCTCCATTTTCTCTAGTTTTTTCTTACAGCTGTGATTCTTGGAAATGTCAAATTTTTGATTTGCTGACTGTTTTTTTGGACTTTTCTCACTAACTATCCTGCCAAATTTGATATCATAGGTGTTATCGATTGATCAGGATTATGGTCTTCAAACAAAGCAAATTTTTCAAACTTTGACAGATTTTTTGGAAACTTATTGACTTTACACATAACCTGATTTTTACGGAAAAACTTTTTGAACTTTGGAAAGTCTTTGACCGTTATTTAGAATTTTTAACCGTTTTATAGAAATTTTTTGAGTTTTCTTAAATTTACACAATCAAATCTGAGATGAAAAAGTCAATTAAACCGATTCCAATGATTGATCCTGCAGAAGCCGAGACTCCTTAATTTTTTATGAGATAAATTTTTTTGATTGATTATCTCCTTGGGAAGATTGATTCCTTTGGAAAACTGATTATCTCAAATTTTTTCAGCTTTTCTGACTATTTTAGTAGTGAAACAATTAAAGTTATAGGCAAAGTCTCATTTTTTTAATCACTTTTTTTGTGCCGCAGCAAACTCATTCTTCATTAAATACGTACCTTTAGCTTTATGGGAGGGTTCTCATGCTGGAGGGACTGAATGCTGGAAAAATTTCAACTAAACAAAATCGCTAAGCGTTCCTATTTGCTAAAAGCCTTTCTCACAAAATCGAAGTCTATATTAACGCAAAATCATAATGTAATAAATATACTAGATGCAGATATAATAGGTGCAGGTATAATAAATTTAGTTTTCTGTTTTTCCATTTTTCCTAAATCGGTATCCTAGAAATAGTTAAATTGTTCCAATCCGCCGTCGATCCGGCATCATTTTCATTTATCTGCTGTTTATCTAATCGGTCAATATTAACACTAATGGCCTGGATTTATTTGCTTTCTTTGAGATTTCCGCGATTTCCCTGAGATTTTTGAATACTCAATTCTGATTGGCTGAAAATAAGCCAAATTAAATTTGAAGCATTCGGTCCCTCCAGCATGAGGGACGCCGCTCTAGCTTTAGCTGGGCCCCTCTTTAATTTTTATCGAGACATACGAAAATTTTGTGCTACTTGGGCAGGTCGCTTATTATTGCTTATGGTTTTTCTCATAACAGGTCGCAAAAATTCGAGTGTGAACAAAGCGAGGCGGACCGGAACTGGTTCAAGGTCCAGTAGAGACAAAGATAGAGGAGGAAGAGACTTGGTGGAAGATCTGTCTCTTTACTCAATGGACAATGGACCTAATTTGAGACCACAAGTAGATGTACCCGCTCTAAATTTGAGGTGAGATTGAAAAGTCTCTGGAATTTTCTGCTGTCGTATAAGGGTTAATAAGCGCTAGTCATCCTTGAGCTGATAAAACGGGGAACATTTTTTTTTGAAGTTGTAGGTCAAAAGTTGACTAAACTCAATTTCTAATTACGCCATTTTTGAAAATCACATCTGGTTTCCTTGAAATGATATATTGGACGTTTCTACGTTCAAACGAATTTAATTTTTTTTGCAAATTAAGGAAAAATGATTTGTTTCGAACAAATACCAGCATATTCAACACAATTTTTGCAAATTTATGTTCTAAACTTTGATTAATTCGTGTGGAAAGCTTAATTCGAATTTCAGGAATACATCAAGCGAAGATTCTGAGGAAAACTGGAAAAACAGAACCTCGCTTACATCCCAATGGAACACTAGATCATCCAACTCCAACTCAACTCCCCTGCCTAAAAACGAGAGATCAGATACGACTATGAATACTCTTCACAAATCAAACCCGGCTCTGTTTTCGCCCATTTATGAATCGATCTCAATTGAAACCCAAGACGAACCCTCGGCTACTGCATCTCCAAAAATAGCTTTCTTGACTGCGCAGAAAGTGTACTATGATCCCCAGTCGCCACCCACAGCTGATAAACTGAAGTTGCTGAAAGTTAAAGGTGAAGGTCGCGAGCAAAATGCGACTGCGGAGATTTTCAAGCGACAGAAGAAACTTTGCAAGACTATTTGTAAAGTTGTTTCAAGGTAATGAAGGTTATTTTTTTTTCAAAATTAGAGAGCTTTGTTAATTTTTGACATTTGCCAAAGTTCATTTTACAAAATAGAGCAAATTCAAGAATGGTGCAACGTAAATTGAGGCAAGAAAGGAGTGATTTTTAGGGTCAGGTTGTGAATAGGTCTAGCTATCTTAAAACTCCCCTTTATTACTGAAATTTTGGCTAGAAATGTGAACATTAATCTAAAAGTAAAATTTACATTCATCTTTGCCTTTTATAGGTCCAAAAGTGCGACACGATCTCGAGACGTTGAGCCGCCTGTTCAACCACCAGACGAACCGGTGAAGCAGAAACCAGTTAAGAAGCGAACACCGAGGTCAAGTAGCTCAGACGAAGAAATGATTCGAGCAGCCAGGATGTCGGGCGAGAGACTAAAAATAGCTCAAAAGTTGGCATCTAATTTGTACGAGAGTTCGAAAAGTCAAGATGACACTAGCAATGGAAAATGTGACGGCAGGAACAATAATTCGAAAAACAGAGGAGTCACTAAAAGCGATAACAAGAGTATAAAAGTGACCTTGAGAATACCACTTGAACAAATCAAGTTTTTTGAAGTCTATTGAAAAGTCCTATTTGGAACCAACGTCGGATTTAAGTACCAAGTACATACTAAACGCAATTTTACCGCGTTTTGATGCATATGATGAAAATGATTTTGTTTTTCCAAAACTTAGCTCAATTGTGCATAATATTTTGGGAAAATAACTTAAAAGTGTTTCGAGAGGTGATTCAAAATCATGAACTGAATCAATTCTCAACAAAATTTGGATTTAAAAAATCTCTATCATTGAACTAAAACAATATAAATATTCCTTCATCTGGCATTAACAGAAACCCAGAACACTTGTTTTTAAAATATCCTGAAAAACTTAAAATAGAACCTCAAATTTCCAAAAGCGAGTCTTTAATATTAAATTGATAGTGGTATACACAAGATCCGTATCTCAGCGTCGGTAGATGAAAATCTTTCAACTTTTTCGGTCACCCAAATGTCAAAACCAACTGAAACCTTGAACGACTATTCGGAACCCTTTTGCAAGTCCGAATCAGCTGCACTTAAAGACGGAAACCCCGGTCTTGCGAAAACGCCAGTATTCGAGCCTGAAATTACTCCGGAATCGAACAAAAACCGAACAAGCTTCGAGTCGATTCTACCTCCAAACCCGCAGACACCTTCGTTCTTATACGACTTGTCAACTACGACTTCGTTTTCGGAAAACTCATTTGGTAATTCTGGAAACGGAACTTTTGATTCGGCGAAGAATTTTCAGTCAAGTCCTCTTCAAGCTGCAGACGAGCTTGAATTGATGTCTCACTTCGAGAAATTCTACATCGAAGATATTGCTGAGAAAGTATCGAGTTTAAATTACGAGTTGGCGAAACGAAGCGAGACTGTAGACTCTGAATTTATTTCGGCTAACGATGTCGGAAACTATTATTCGGAAATCAATTCGGATTTTCCGCTGAAAAACCGAACCGATTTCGACTCTTTTATAAACGAGGCTAAAAAGAGTTCAGATTCGCTCACGATTGAAATGAGTCCGAGTACAGAAGAAGTGGAATATTTCATCAACTTCGGGGAACATGTTTTGTTTCAGCACTTCGAGATGAACAAATTCAGAGAAGTTGCAACTTGTGATTTTATTCTAGAAAAAGTGCAGTTATGCGTGTGGCATCAGCCGTCAATGTTGTTGACGAAATTTTCATCGACTTACGTCACCAATTTTGACTTCAATGTTGAAAACACAAATAGCAAGAGTGCTAAAGGAGAGGATACAACGTTGAGTGAAAGAAATGTTGGGCAATTGCGAACGTCAATTGAAAAGAAAACATCAGTGATTCGTCCTGACAATTCAAGTATGACAATCTGTTAAATAAATTTTTTTTATACTTGGTGGTAAGTTTTGCTGATACTGTGGATATACAATCGGTTGACGTGGTTTTAAATTTTAAAAAAGCTTTGGCTGTTTTCGTTTTCCCCATATCTGATTTTTCCTAACTAAGAAAGCAACTCAGAAAACCTTTGCTCACCTTGTAAGGTTGTAATGAAATTAAGCGTGTAAAAATTACAATAACCTAAAAAATACCATCACCGTAAAATTGAGGTTATGTAGTGTGGGAGAGGGGAGTCTGTTTGCCGTGCTTAGTTTTTTTTTATCTGACGCCGTTATTTGGTTGTTTGCTAAGATCTTTTCAACTACCATTCAATCGCCAAAAATTGTCGATCATAAATTGCTCTTGAAATTCACAGACCCGAAAAGCCATATATTTGTTACTTTGAAATTATAAAGTTTTTTCAAAAAACAAGTCTTTTTTCTATTTTCTTGCGGCCATTGGCTTTTTTCCAACTGACTGTTGGCTATGTTTATTACGAGTCAATGTTTTTGGAATTTAAGTTCCTTCTTCAGAAAGTATGTACAAGGATTTTTTTCCGAATATTTTGAGATTCATTCCTAATTGCGCTGTTGAATGGCGAAGACGGGATGAGATGATAAGATATTTCCTAGTTTGTTCGATTTTATATTTTTCACACTATTAATGACTTGTATTTTTATACATCAAGTTTCTTTTCTTCTAGTCAGTCGCACTTTGACCCTTGACCCCTCTGTGCTCTCGACATGTGGAAGAATGATCCCAGAAGTGGACATTGACTTCGAATCCTTCTCAGACTCCAGTGGGGACTGCATGCAGAGAGGCGTGACCAAATACAACCCTGTGAAAGCCCAGGAGGCCATACAAAAGTTATTGGATGAATTGCCTCTAGATTGCAGCACTCCGAAGAGCAAGGTTTCTGTAACTGTTTCTAAAATGGGCGAATGTGTGCCTCAAAGTAGCTCTTTTTCCTTCCTCTCATATAAGTTTTAGTTTTATTGTTTTACATCACGTTATTACATTGTTAGGTAATAGCCTAATCTGTCAGTTCTCCGATTTTTATAATCCGTTTTTGATCGCTAGGTTGTCTTAGTTTTGTCACAACTAAAATTTGAACAGAAAATGTGTTAGACTCTCTCTTTTGAACCGACCAACCCTATACTAATTAAAAGTTTATTGTTATCGAATTTTAAGGTTCACATTTCAGTGACTAGAATGTAAATTATAGTAAATCTTACTCTTTCAAGGTCTAAAGAACAATGAGCCTTTACTTCCTTCTGGTTTTTGCAGGCGTCTCTTCTGAAGGAGATAGACAGTTGTTCAGGCGACCAGGCCAGTGTAAGATCGATCTCTTCTGCAGCCGCGCAGAGGTCACCCAAGGTCATTCAGGTGCAGAACGCCGTCTTTCAGGTCAGTTGAAATATCACATCAGTTTAATAGAAATTATGTGTTGCGCAATCTCTTCGCCCTTGAAGTGTTGCTTAAAAGTCTTATATGTTTGGTTAATCATGAAAATATACAAATATAAATTGGCTATTCTTTTAAGTAAACGAATAGTAGGATCCCTTTTTACTATTCACATTCCCATGGTACCTAGTAACGAGTCTTCGCCCTATAAGGAGATAATTCAATCCTTAAGCATATTTAATTTTTGTACCTAGAAACGAATTTCTCAAACACCTTTTGCAATTCAAGAAAACAGTAAACACTTAAAGAGAAATTAAAGAAATGATTAGTTTTATGTCGGTTTAGAATTACTGGGGCAGTTTTGACGGTTTTTTTTAATAAAGGATTTGGGCGTGGTTTCTAACTAACTCAAAAAACTCTTGTTGTCTGATCATTTCAGGCGGAGAAGCCATTGTCCAATGGCAGTGCGAGTTTTGACTTTGACGTCAATTCTAACTCGATTTGCATGGAAGTGCCTTCGAAGCAGCCTGTCAATTGGTAAGAGTTTAGCCACCGATTTTGATATTCTTACTCTTTTACCATTCTTTCTCGCTTCATAACCCTTCAGCGTTGAATTTTGGATGCACTGAATTGTATCCCCTATCTTGTTGTCACGTATACAGGTAGGCTGAGAAGCGTATCGGTTGCCGTGAACTTTTTTTCTTTTGCAATTAAAATAGAAGTTATTGTTTGTTTTTATATGAATTACCGAGCCCTGAGTTGAATTGATACAAACTACATTAACCGAATCCCCTCAAACCGCTCCTTGTTCTTTGTGATGACGATATTTATTCTTCTTTTCAGTTGTGTAGATCCTCCCGTGGTGGTCAAGAAAGTTCCTTGTGGCAAAATAGTTGAAGAGGACAATGAGAACGAGGAAGAAGAAGTTGAGGATGGGAAGGATGAATGTACCTTTGACAAGACTTACAGTGACGACGACTGGGATGACTTCCAGTCTTTTGACTCCTCCAGTAGTGACAGTGAATTCATATCCCCACGGTAAATTAACGAGGTTCATGTAATTTTTTATAGCGTGAGTGGGAATTGAAAACATCTGAAAAAGTTTCAAAATTTTTCTTTAGCTAGAAATTTTAAATTTAATTCATGTTTCTGATAATTTTTATTGTGTTCATGAAATGACTTTTCTCTGTTTAATATTCAGTGTCTAGAAATGAATATTTTCATCGTGAATTTTTTCTAGCAATTCAATGGTTGGTAACAGTTTATGCATTGTTGTCAAGCACTTTTTTAAGCAATTTGAAGTTTGAGTGAAAACGCTGGCTAGGACCTGTTTCTACGCATCCCTCCCCTTTAAGTATATCATGTTAACAAGAATTTCGATGCTACTTAAAATTGTAAGCGAAAAAGTATTTTCATTCGTGAAACTTTCTAAGATTCAAAAATTGAAGCAAAGTTTTTTTAGATCGCATCAGAGCTCAAGGAAACCATCCATTACCGCAGTTACAACAAACTCAAACACCAATCTGAACGATGCAAACGATAATAAAGTAGCAAAAACTTACGCAGTGGAACCCGACGCAACTGTAGACACCAAATCGTTCAAGGATCAATTCAACAAATTACCAAGAAACGAAACATTTTTATTCAACAAACAAGATTCGAAAATGGACGTTTTAATTTCAGTCGAATCGGCTGATGAACGCAAGACGTTTTCGCTCAAAACCGCTGAAGCAGATTCAGAATCGGAACCAACCGAAGACAACAAAAAGTTCGATTCGTTGAGATCTTTCGACGGTTCCGAATCGCAGAAGTCGACCGAAGATTTGGTTATAAACCACGACGGCCCGAAACTGTCCCCAGCGTTTAGCATAAATGTCACGGAGCCAACTCCCACAACGATTGTCAAAGTTTCGCCCGCGTCCGCTAATAAAATATCCTCAGCTCCGAAACCATCCGGAGGGGGTTCCCACCGAGTCAGACAAGATTCGTTGTCGGAAATCACGAAGATCAAAGGTGACTACGAGTGTTTAAAGCAAGCTCTGGAGGGCGTTGTTTCTCAGGAGGCGTCATTTAATGCTTCGTTGGACGAAAAAATAGCATCAATGCCCGAAAGAGCCACTCGGAAAATAACTCCGAAGCGACTGACTATGTCTGATTATATTGACAGGTCAGGTATTTAATTTACTTCTTTATAAGGGCAATGCATCCATTTTTCAGTGTTTCCGGCAGTAAAATTTTTTCATCTCAAGCTGAAAAATTACCGATTTTGTTCCGGCCATTTTACAAGCTATAGCCTCGCCGATAATTTTTTCAAGCAATTTTATGTATCATAACGAAAGCTCGTTGTAGATAGTGTCATAAGTTTTACCTGCCCATTTTAAGTGTAAAAGAACGCATGATTTTCACTTATATATGTCTTGATGATTTCTGTTTGTTTTCAGAAAATTTATTCATGCTCTAGTCTGATTTTTTTGCGGTTTAATTTCTTTTCAAGTTCACTTCATTTCCAAATGGATATACTTTGCGAGATTTCGGTAATGCAAAATTCATCGCAATTTGGTTTAATACATTCTAATTTATTACATACAAAGTTAGTGAGGTTGCCATTAGTTTATTACCTTCCAAATTGTTACATGCAAAATTCAAGTTTTTGTGCCTTAAGCTGAATTTTTGCGGCTTACTCGCTTGTGTTCATATTTTGCCTCTGTGAAAATGAAGGCAAAGTCAACTAGCGAACGGCAAAAAAGAAAAGATCGCGAGAAACGCGAATGGCGACCGTTTGCAAAAATGGACTTAAGTTTTCTAAGTTTCCCAGTGGAATGAAAAATTACGTGTTGACTTAGTTTTTTCAAAGAAGGTTAATTTTATCAAAAAAAAAATCAATCATTGATTGTTCTTGGACTTCAAAGAGGGGCCAGGCAATACATTTTTTCTCTGAATTTCGAAAGTTTTTTTTAAAAAAAAACAAGTCAGTATTTTTTTCGGCCGTCTGTCGGCACCAGTGATAGAAAAATTTTAAGAATCGGGTATTTCACTTTTAAACTTATTGAAAACAGTTTTTTTTCTGTTTCTTTGAAATTATTTTGGTTTTCTTGTTTGCTAGCTTGGTTGTATGGCAAGTGATGTGAAGCTCCGCTCCGCCTCTGCGTACAAATGTTGCAAAGATTTTGATAACAAATCAGTGTCAAAATTTTAAAATAAATTTCGAATCAATAGTTGTCTTTTGAGCTCAGCTTAAGTCTCTAGGCATCAAGACAACGTGCATTTCTGATCTCTTCATTGACAATTTTCAATCTCTAAGGTTGAAGAGTTTGTTTTATAGGCAATTTTTTCGCTGTAATTTTGCTTTCATTTTTGTTAAGTGTCATTGACCAAAATGAGACAATTGCCTAATTTATGTGATTTTTTGTTTTTAAGTAAATTTTCAAAATTAGTTTTTCGCGATATTGACTTTTGATTTCTTTTTAAGTTCAGTTCATTTCCTTTGTTACCAGGAAGGCAAACTCCATTATCGAACAGCAAAAATGTAAGGGTCATAAAAAACGTGATCGATTTCTAGTTTGGAAAGTGGAATTAATTTTCAGATTTCCCAGCGAAACAAAAATTGTAACTATTGAACCAGTTTTCTCCAATTGGGTTAATTTTCTCAAAAAAATTGACGGTCTCAATTGTTCTAAAAATTAAAAGAGCTTTAAGGGCATCTATTTTTTTTGTCTACTCTCGCTCATTGGTTCTTTTCCAACTGTCTGTTGGCTATGTTTGTTTTAGAGGTTTGAATTTCATTTTTGTTTTAAGTGGACTTCAAACTCATTTGGTAGACACAAAGCTTTATAATCTACGATAACGAAAATGCAAATGGCGCAAAAATACGCGGTTGCTTTTAATTTCTAAAAAGAGCTTGAGCTTTCAGAATTCGCAGCCTGTGAATTTCGAAATTCGAATTTGTCTTTTTTGCTATTGATGTGATGATTTGCTTCTCAATGTGAACAATCTGAACAAAAATTGTTTTTGTTCCGATCATTTGAAAAATAGGGAGGAACTTTGTATGCGGGTGTGTTTTAGTTTTTTGCTTTTTGTTTTCCACGCAAAATCAGTTATCACAAATAATGGTCGAACTGGGTTGAGTTATATATCATATTGAAGTCCTTTCAGTCGTGATTCGAACCACGTTAAAAATTTTCCAAAAGTTTTCCCAGTGTCGAGAAAAACCGGTTTGAGTTTTTGATTTTCGTCTAATTTCGAAGTAATATAATGTGAGCGTGTAGGCTTACAATAGCTTATTTAAGCTTACTTTAAGCCGTGAAAACTTACTTGAATTCAAATAAAATAGTTTTTAGAGTTTTATAGCGTTTTAGAAAAAAATTTTACTTATTTTTAAACTTTTTTTTACAATTTTTTTTCGTTTTTCCATTCAATGTTCTTCAAAAACTATTTTCCGATTGGCCTTTTTTACTATGATTGTCAAATATGCCTACGTTTTTTTTCGTTCTGAACTTTTTATCACACCATGCGGAAAAAACAACACTAATTTGAAAAAAAAAATGTTTTTGTATTTTTCTAAGACTGTGGTCGGAACCATCTTGTGCTACTTGCACAGTAACCGGCTATCCTTGTTTAAATATGGCAATCCTTTAGCATAGGAAAGGTTGTAAAATAGGTTATGTACAAATCATATCATAATTTTATGTCTAAATGATGTCTTCATTATTTTTTGTGCATGTTTAGGTTGACGTCTTCCAATACGAGTGTTGGCTTCAAAGTAGCTGAGCCCCTCTGTGATTCATCAGGTGACAAAACTGACAACTCTTTCCAGAGTAATGCTTTGAATTTGTTGACCACAGAGGCACTAGAGAGAGCGGCTATAAAACTGAAGAACTTAAAAGCAGCTGCGAAAACGGAATCCAAGGCAAGAAATTACTAATATATTTTTTGAAAATTTGTTTTTCTGTATAAATATGACCCACTCACTCCCCTTCCTCCAACGATAAAATATATCTATGAACCAAAGGGGAATCTCTTGTGCCAGTGAGAACAAATGCCCGAGCATCATGTTTTGGAATTCAGTATTCAAAGTTTTGAGCTCAATAAGTTTGGAATTCGGTCTGTTTTGGGCAGCTCAAAGCACGCTATTTGGTTTGAAATCTCTGAGTTTTCGGTCATTCTGTCATGGGATTGACCTTCAAATTAGAGTTTCTGTCAGTATGGGTAGTGTGTCTATATGACGCAAAGTATGTGAAACAGGTGGTGCTAAACAGTGGTGAGATAATCAGAAATATCCTATTTATATTGACCTTGAAAGCAAGCATGAAGAAAAGGTAGAAAACGTTTGAGTTGATATAATCGCTTTTAATTAATAATATCACTCAGGAACAGCCATTTTTTAATGCTTAGCAAATGACAGGTACTAAAAGATAAGAAATTTTGACCAGGTTGCTTCAATCAAAGCAAAAATTGAATCTGCAGCTACTAGTGAACCTAAAAAAGATTTCAAGGTGACTCATGTGGCGAGGACAGGAGTGATTGACAGGTGTTCTAAGAAAGTCCCAAATGAGCATGACAATTGGCACAGGGAGCTGCGAGAGGATCGATCTCAAGATAGATTGCCACTATTTTCTTTCGTAATTGATCGGCGAAGATTTAGATTTTGAATCAGTTTCGTAAGTTACAATTGCGATGATACTTTTCTGCAAATTATTAGTTCTACAATTTTAATTTTGTACGAACAATTCGGCTAAATTTTTTTCGATTTTTTGAGTGGTCTAATCTTCTAGCACGGTGTTCTATTCAATGAAAAATGACTACTTTTTTAAAAAATTTTCTGAGTGTGAGTCTAAAATTATTAAGTTGATGACAAAAGTGGAAGTCTGTGACTTAGTAGGACCCCCACTTCTGTCTGCCGACGTCAATATCCCGAATGAGTCTGAAGGAGTTCGAGGAGCGACGAAGACTCTTCGAACACTCCTTCAAGGACTCCCGTCAGGACTCCCTACATCATGCAGCACAACCACAGATGCTGATCCCAGGTGATCACAATCACTACTTTCATCTACTGTCTCTAAACAACAAGCATTTTTAACTAGCAGGGTCTCTTGGCGTAATAACGCTTTCCAACTATTTAAATCGAAGCATGTAGCTGGCTTTTTTAAGGACAGTTGGAATATGTAAAAGTCATAATCGTCCTCCGCATTTTCAGGAGCGTCGAAAACACAAGGGACCAAATCCGAGTTGCAGGCTTTGCAGACGAGAATTGGAAAAATTCCGGCGAGACAATCAGGTAAAATAGTTTTTCATCCGGTCCCCAATTACTAAAAAAAAAATCAGTCAAGAAAATTGATTCCGGGTCAAGTCTTTCAATAGATAAATCAAGGAACTCTTAATTGAATCTACACCCTAGATCTATCCATGTCGTGTCCACGTTCGTTTCTCATATAACAATGATGTATTTATACTGGCATGTTGAAAAGCCAAACATTTGACGCGTGTTTTAGTTCCGACAAGATCTGGCGGCATCAGCAATTACTACTTGCAGAGACAGAAAGCGACTATGAGCGGCAGCAAGCCAAAAAGTTCGTCACTTTCTCAGACCAGCTCAGTTGCTGATTGTCTGAACTGGGGATTCTAAAGACATTTTGATGCAGATATTTTTTGTTCAAAGGAAGCTTTGGTTTTACGAAACAAAAGATATAATAAATATAGCTGCAAATAGATATTTTTTGTATCAATGATGTTTTTGAAAGGGCTATTTAAAAATTTTGCTGCGAGCAAGCGGTTTGAAACTACACCATATGACTTCAGTGAAGTTTTTGACATGCCTGTTTAAAACTTAATGAACGAAATAACGACACGTATTTAGGTCGTATTTTTTCGTTTCAGGAAAGTCTTAATCTTAGATTTTGATCAGGCTCAAATTTAATATTCCGCGTTTTGACTTGTGATTTTTGTTCAATTTCAATTCATTTGCTACAAAGAGGTCAAAGTAAGTTCCTTAATTACATAAGTCAAAATGGCGCAAAAAACGTGAAGGAATTTAGTTTCCAAGTGGATTTTAATTTTTTACAGTGGATTTCACAGTGGAATAGGAAGTTTGAAAACATTTTTCAGTTGGCTGTTTTAAAAAGTTTCGCTGCGAGCAGGGTTCGAACCTACGCGGGAAGATCCCATTGGATTTCAAGTCCAACGCCTTAACCACTCGGCCATCGCAGCTGAGATTTTATGTCTTGATTAAAATCAGATTTGGTTTCGACTAAATTTAAGCCGGTTAGCATAGATGCATTGGTGCAACATATTGAATTTAAGGGAACCAAAAACATTGAAATAAAATTGACAATGAAAGAACTCTTGATGGATGAAACCATTTTAAACGAAAAATCAAGGACTAATTTAAGGCTGAAATCGAACCGCAGTATGATTCCATTGGGTTACTTTCCTACGCCATAATTAATATGGGATTGCAGTTATGGAAACCCTTTTCATTTTTTTAATCACCAGCCAAATTCAAAAGATTATTATGCAGCAATCTAAAGTGACCGCATTGGATCTGGAAGTACTATGCAATTTGGTTTTATTTTTCGATTGCAAAAAAAAAATAATCGTTTTTGAAAGATACATAATACATTAGAAATTAAATCATGGATGCGAGTTGTCGGAGTCATGTTGTTGACACAAATTGTTTTATTTCTAGATAACAATGAATGTAAAAACTGGAGAAATCGATTGTCTTTTGAGCTGAGCGTGTGTCCCTTTCTTGAAAACTTGTGAATAGTAAATCCTCATCTATATCATTGGGTTTCATTTCCAAACATTGATAATTTCCACAATGAATTTATTCAACCGAAAAAAGCCAGAGGAGATTGTTCGAGAATGGGACAGGGCTCTTAATCGAGAGCAGAGGAAAATAGATCGAGAGCTGCAACAATCAAAGCGGCAAGTTCAGAAAATGGAGGCGGATTGCAAAAAGATGGCCAAGAAAAATCAAGTTGACGCTGCAAAAGTCCTCGCAAGACAGGTATCCTGGTTGATATTTGGGCGAGTTTTTTCTTAATAATTGTTTCAAGTCTTAGCAGAATGTCTCCGATTTTTTTTTACGAGTTCCGAACTTTTTTAATAGTTTTTTTTCACCGCTCTAGAATTTCGCTGCATTTGTGACAATGAAAACGTTTTTATTTATCGTCACGCTCATTTTTTGTACGGCCGGTCGACTTTTGACGTCTTCTGAAACTCAGAATTCGAACTCAGCTCCTACTTGTTTCAATAAATTTTAAACCAAAGAAGGATAGCCGGTTACTGCAAAGTAGCACAGAATGTTCCGACCATAGTGTTGAAAAAAAACACTAAAAGTTTCTTCAAATTAGTATCGTTTTGTGATAAAAAATCTGAACGAAAAAATTAGAACTTAAGCATATTCGACAGACATAGTTGGTAAAATCAGCAATTTGAACAACGGTTTTTCTTGAAAAATGACTAAAAAAACCAAAAAGTTACAAATTTTTTTTGCAGTTTTTGTTTTTGATTCCCAAAATGGCGCTAAAAAACTTCAAAATATAACCGTCGAGAAATGAGAATAAAAATTATAAATTTGTTCTTGTTTTTTTTGACACTGGGACAATTTTTTGAAAATATTTTGAAACTGTTTGAATCAAGGCTGAAAGGGTTTTTATATGATATATCACTGGACCAATTCCGATGATATTTTGAGTAGAAAAAAAACAAAAAACTAAAACGCACCAGAATTCAACGTTTCTCCCATTTTCAATGGCCACAACAACAAGGATAGCCGTTTGCTGTGCAAGTAGCACAGAATATTCCAACCACAAACTTTTAAATTATAAATAAATTCAATAAGAACAAGATAGAAATTCAGTCTAAAATATCAGTCTTAAAGGTAATCTTTAGTCGGGTAGACGAACAAAATCAGACCCGTTTTGACACTGAGACAACTTCTTCGCTTTTGCAATCTTAGTCGCAAACAATATAATTTTCTTGTGATAACACGCTTAACCTTGGACGAGCTTTCTGTGAGGTAGTTGAAATTGAGGAAAAAACATACCGATCACGTAGCTCCTTCCCACTTCTAGAAGTGGTCGGAATAATATTTCTTGTTATTGGAAGAGATTTTGTATGATAAATTTTGTGCTAATGCATCCTAATAAAAATTTAAAATGTCAACAGAAATACCTGTTACCAAAACTTATCCCGATTTTTTTCCTGTTAGCAAAACTTATACTGATGTATTCTGACATTCTCGCGTGGGAGAAGATAGCTCAATAGGTACTTGAGGCATGTTTCTTACCACTTAAAAATCGTTTGGATAATCTGAAATCATGAGCTAGACTCTCCAATGCTTGTTGAATACCGAAATTCGCAATATGAAAACTTACAAATTATTTCCCAGTGAAAACAAATGCCTATAAGTGATGCATATGAACCCAAATTTTGTCTCAAGCGAAGAAAAAAATGCTATTACGTACATTTTTATGGTGCAGCGGATAAAAGTTGCAGGTATTCAGATAAAAAGTAACAGCACCAACCCTGGTAACTTGCTTTCCTCGAATCAATGATCGCCCAAACAATAAAAAACGGAAAAAAACTTAAAAAACGTCATTTTTTTCTTTTTCAAAGAGTTTTCTCGACACTCATATAAAAAACTTCAGTTTCAAATTGATAGCGTGTTATATTCGCATCAACCATCTGCTTGAGTTTGAAAAGGCCTTTTTATGCGTTTTGCTATTTTTGCTTGGGTGGATAGCTCAAGTGGTCATTACAGGATGGTGGGTATAGATTGCTCCGATTGACCAGACAGTGCTTTAGCTCAAGTATGGTTTATAGATACCCCAAGCACCCCTTGACAATAGGTACAAAAGGAGCGTTCTTTTTAGTTGAAAGTTCGTCTATGCTTCATCGTTCAATTAGCTCTCATAGCTGTGCAGATTTTGTTACGATGTACCATCGGGGAATTGCTAAGGAGCTCCTACAGTTTTTAATGGTAATATATCTATTTTTATCTTCAGGTCATCCAAGGTCGCAAAGGAATGAACAGACTCCACCAGACTAAAGCGAACATCAATTCAGTCCAACTAAATATGAAGCAGCAGATGGCTATGGCCAAAGTCAGTGGTGCATTCGAGAAGTCCACCCAAGTCATGAAAGCAATGTCGAAACTGGTCAGAGTCCCAGAAGTGATGAAAACTATGCAGGCAAGATTCGGCAACTTTTTTTCTATTTTTTATCATTATTTGCTACATTTAGTTAAGTGACAATCGTGTTTTTTTTAAATGGTTCAAGCTTTAATCAGATTTTTCACGGTCTGACTTTTGAATTCAATTCAACTTGAGGGGCGTCAATGGTTAAAGTTTCATAAAACTAGAATAACTACTACTTTCAAAAATGGATTTCAATGTTCAGAATTTATGTTCATTAGTTTCATCAAAAAATGTGCCAATCATTGAATATTCTGGAATTTCAGAGAGTTTAGATAATATATGTTTTTTAAGAGTCGATAAACGTAGTGCAGACTCATATATAAGGTCGCAATAATTTTTTTCAGGAAAAGTCTTAAAATTTGTTCAAGCTCAAATTTACTTTTTCGCGGTTTGACTTTTGATTTTTTGTAATTTCAGTTCATTTCCGTTGTTAAAAGGAAGGTAAAATCCACTATCAAACTGACAAAATTGTAAATAACACGAAAAACACGTGATCGACTTCTTATTTCTTAAATGGTATATAATTATCAGATTTCCCAGCAAAGCAAAAGTTTTTGTATTGATCCAGTTTTCTCAAATTGGGTTAATTCTTTAAAAAAAATGTCCATCAAAAATTATTTTTGAAATTCAAGAAACTTTAAGGCCAATTATTTTTCTCTTGGAAATTTGAAAGTTGAGGTTTCAAAAATAAGTCAGTGTTTTTTTTTTCTGTTTATTTTCGTTCATTGATTCTCTTTTTTAACTATCTGGTGGCTACTTTTTACATTCGAAAGTTAAAAAATGGCTTAAAGGTCTATTTTTTTTGGTCGCTTTCAAGCTCATAGACCTTTTTCCAATTGAAAACCAGCAGATAAAACCTGCTTTTGAAACAGTTATTTTGATTGCTCTCGGTAGTAAGATTTTTCTAAATCACCATTTTCTAAATAAGAACAATCATTCTTTTTTGGAATTCTGATTATGTGTGGCTAACACTGACGAATCTTTCAGTCTGAGTTAAGTTCTTTGAATACACTCAGTTTTTTACTTCTGCAAATCTTAAAAATTCTGTCTAAAAATTGTTTTTAAAATGATTTTTTGTTCACCTTGAATGCAGGAATTACAACGTGAAATGATGAAAAGTGGCGTGATCGAAGAAATGATGAATGACGCGTTAGATGACGCATTGGGCGATGAAGATTTGGAACAGGAAACAGACGACGAGGTCAACAAAGTTCTGGAAGAGATAATTTCGGGTCAACTGGACAAAATGCCCACCAATTCCTTACCCGCTCAACAGTCACTGGATGCGAATGTCGAAAGTGAAGAGGAAGACGAACAAGCTTTGCAAGAAAGACTCCAAAGTTTGAGAAGCTAATTACTTAACTATGTGTTTTATTATTAGTAGTAAAAGTAGTTGTGAAATTCTTTAGCCACCTTTCTTGTTGCGTGTAACAATGGTCAACTTAACATAAGTTATTATCTTCACATCTGCGAGTTCTGTAATAAGAATTTCGTGCTTAAGAAACTTCCCATACTGCTTATGCATTTAATCTGCAAATCGCTCTATTTTGGTTCTTCTTAGAAAATCTATCAAAATTATCAATTATTTCGGTCTCTGAATGTTTCATTCCTGACTCAGTTTTTGATTAGAACTTAACGAAATATTTTTACAATAGCTTTTTCGAAAAGAATTCCGCAATTTTATATCTTACTCCAGCTGCACCTGTTTATGATCAAATATATGAATTACACTGAATTTTTTTAAAAGGTCAAATTTGAAACCATTTTGATATGGTCCCTTTTCAAGTTATAACTATCATTTGATAAGAAATTAAATTATTATTTTTGCATTTTCTCAGAAAATTTCAAGGCGCTCGAAGATGCTTTAAAAATGGATGAGAAATAAAACTTAATTGAGTTTTGAGTAATTTTAAATCAAATGAAAAATTCAAAATTTGTAGAATTAAGTACATCACCTTATTTCTGATTATAAAAGAATTTATTGGATTTTCGCAATTGGTCAGTCAAACTCGGTGATCGGTCAATTAGCAGAATGGTGTAAGAGCAGAAAGGGCATAAGAGCAGAAAACAGACAAAAATTGAACTATACGTGCTTGAAAAAAAAACAAAGCAATTAGAAAGATCGTCAATATCTAATGAATTCTCTGCCACATTCAAGACATGCAACTCTTTCGTTTCTATTCAGTGACGGCATCTCAATAAGTAAAGAAAGATTAAATGGGAGATTTAAAAAGTACCAAATTTTTAGATAAGAACAGTTGAATTAAAGATCACTGCCACTTCCATATGAGTCAAAGTGTCTGGCGACATGTTCAGTCGTCAGGCAGTACTCACAATTACAACAGTGACCTTGTTTTTTGTTTTCCATATCATAAAATTGATATCTGAAAATATACTAGATACAAGGGTCCACGTGTACGATCTCCGCCTCCTAGAATTAAATGGCAAATTCAAGCATTAGGTCCTGCTTGTACTATACTTAATCTGATTGGCTGGAAACTTTCTTTTAACAAGTGAACGATTTTGTCACTAAATTGATTTTGAGAAAAATTCGTTGCTTTGGTCCGAGACAACAGTGCTGATTTAATTAATCCGTACAAATTGAACAAAAATTGAAAGTTCCAATGCGTTTTACTCAAAGTGTGCTAAAATTAGACAAAACGAGAAGATGACTAAAATTAGTTAGAATTTCATATGCCCAGAGTTATTTTAATGCAATTTGCTATGCGCGAATTTCAGACCCAAAAATTTACCCCGAAAATGTTTTTTTTTAGTTGTATTAATTACGCTGAAACTACCAATTAAGTGATGAGAAACTTATATCATTGGGTTTCGGAAATTGAACTGCATCTAAATATTTCTGGTGTAATTCTAAGCAACTTTTGTTCTTTCCACTTTTTGAGTCTAATCTTACCCCATTTTGAGTAACACGCGTGTAAATTTTTCTATATTGTTTGTTTTGTCTGGTTAATTTAAAACAGTATTGTAGAAAAAGGTTTCTACGGGATTGACAGTTCTATCCAATCGAAGCCCGTTCATTCATTCGCTTTGAGATGCAGTTTTTGCTTCTGATGCTAATTATCAGTAAAGGAAATAGCCAATTTGTTCATTAAAGCTTTAGTTGTATTTAAAACAAAAATGGGTTTCCTCTAACAAACTGAAATCTGCTTAAGAAGAAAATATGTTAAATTTTTTTTTTAAAGTTAACACACATGAACATGTCTTATGTTTTGAAGCTCAGGTAATACCAAATACTAGAAAACTGTTGGCAGTAATTTTCCAAACTGCTTTTTATCATTTGGTAAATTATGACGAATGAACAGTGGAATTAATGTAGTATTTTTATTAACATAATCGACTGCTTGCCGGAAAGATTAATTAATTGATCCTTGTAAAAAAATAGTAAATCTTAAATTTAATTCAAATAGCTTAACGAAGGCTATTCTTTTGTGATCAGCTGTTTTCTGTTCGAAATATCATTAATTTTAATTATCAGAATAATTAGTGTATTCTAAGTTACTCGAACTAATGTGAAATTTGCTCTGATTTATTACGCTTGCGATTAGCAAGCGTTATCAAATCGGAATGTAGACTTTTTTTCGGGTTAACAACTGGTTTAAGCAAATCACGTATGGTGCTTCTTTTATGAAGCTTCTCTTCAGCTAACATCCTCAATTTCATAACAATTCAAATTTATTTCTGGATGGGTGCTAGTTACTACAGTATAGTTTCACGGCAGTTTTTTTAATTTTTTTTTACAAAATCTGTTTTTTTTTTCGGCTCAACTGGTGTCTGCTCAAAGGTTGTCGGCCTTGTTTCCGCTTTGTAAGTTTTTTTTCAGTTGCTAATTTGAATTTCAATTCTCTTACTTGGCATGCATGCTTAGCATTCCTGTTTAATAAAATCAGTTAATGTGAAAGTGTATGGGTTTGGTTTTTTTTATACGAATTTTTTTGAAACGTTTTGGAAAATTTGTCACTTTTTGCAAAAAAGTGATATTTTTTTCTCAAAATTACCCATCTACCTATTCTCAAAAAAGGGTACCTAAAGACTACCTGCATTTTTGTGTGCCTGTATACCCCTGGTTTCTTTTTGCTTTACCCCTTTGTCTACAGCCTTCAAAAAAGTGTGAGTGGGCAATATTTGACCAAACTGAGATTTTGGTTTCAATGAACAGAAAGGAATAAAAAAGCTTCCCTCCAAAAGCTGCCACGTCCAAATTTAATTTACACATAAAGTTATGGCTCTCGGACTAGCAAGTTTTGATCTTTTTGTCCGTTTTTGTATCTTTTTTCAATTACCTCGAAAACTACCTCCCAAACCTGAGGGTGTGGGTTCAGTGGAGATAACGAGTAGTGGGAAGCTCTTGTGCTCTAGCGAACACTCACAATTTTTTCTCAAAAAGTTTTCGTCCTCGGAAAAGTCAGTTTTTTGATTTTTGAGCGCTTTTCTAAATTTTATGAAACTTATCAAAAAATATCCTCCCATATTTAGGGTTTTGGGTTCAATCCAGAGAACAGGTGGTGGAAAGCTTAGTTGCTTACGGGCTTACACTCAAGTTTTTCGAAACAAAAATTTATGGTCTTCGGAAAAGTCCAAATTTTGTTTTTGTTACCGTTTTTCGAAACTTTTCGACTTTTCTCTATTTGCTTGATTATTTGCTACGCCCAGTTTCTTTTTAAAAAAATGGTCTTCAACAAAGTAAAAATTTTGAAACTTCGACCGCTTTTTAGAAGTTTTTTGTCCCCACTAGAAAATACCGTGCCAAATCTCAGGTTAAATGTTCAATCGAGAAACCCGATTTTGGGAGTCTTCTCTTTTTAGCGGCCACGACCTGCTTTTAGCAGAAAAAGTTTACGGATTTCGGAAAGTCAAATTTTGACCGTTTTTTAGAAACTTAATGAATTTCTTCAAAAACTACCCTATCAATTTTGAGATGAAATATTCAATGGAAAGAAGCGGTTGCGCAAATTTTTCCTGCAGTAGCGGCTATTCCTTAATTGTAAGAGACAGGTTGTTTTTGGAAAAGTTCTGATATCTCGAAATTTTTCACTCTTCATTTTTTTTAGTAGAGAAACAACTAAAGTTTTGGGCAAAGTCCAATTTTTGAAATTACGCATATCGTCCCGCATCAGTAAAATTAATTCAGAAAATAGCAAACAGGTACCTCTACCTTGAGTTGGGGCTAGGTGTCCTTCATCGAGACATACGAAAAAATTTGGTTCACCTAGTTTTTTTCACAATTGTTCATTATTTTGATTAGTGCTTTTTTACGATTGTTTTGTATCGCAAGTGGTGCGAAATTCCGTTTCGCCTCCGTGTCTAATCTGGGTTTAAATTCTGTACATAAGCCCTTTTTCAAAACGATTGGGTCTGTATGTCAATTGGTTGGATCGACTCTGAAATTATATTATTTGTCGAATCTAAAAACTTTACACATTGCCAGATTGACTTCCGTATGCAGAATCAGAACAAGGATAGCCGGTTACTGTGTAAATTTTATAGAAATTTCGGCCATATTCTTTAGAAAACTACGATTTAGAAAGTTTTTTTTTCAAATTAGTGTAGTTTTTTCCTGCTGGTTGTGATAAAAAAATCTGACGTAAAAATATAATTTAGGCATTTTAGACAGACATAGTAATATAGGCAAACTCGACAAAAAATTTCGAAGAAAAATGACTAGAAAAACTAAAAAAGCTAAACATTTTTTCAAAAATTTTTGCAGAAAATTTTAATTTTTTTTGAAAATTTGGTTCCCAAAAAAAGCTAAAAAAAACTCCAAAAATTAGTTTTATTTGCTTAAATCAAGGTCTTAAATTAGGCACAATTCAGTTTGTAAGCCTAATCGCTTGCATTATTCGCTCGAATTAAGACAAAAAAAATTCAAACCGCTTTTTCTCGACACTGGGAAGACTTTTTGGAATTTTCAAGAAGTAATTCGAATAACGACTGAAAGGGCTTTAATGTGATTTATCACTCAACCCAGTCCGATCATTTTTTTTGATACCTGATTTTGTGTGGAAAGCAAAAAGCAAGAAAATAACTAAAGTACACACGAATACAAAGTTCTTCCACATTTTCAATGGGCGGAACAATGAGATATATAGTCTCAGTTTTATTTAAATTTAATTTATCTTTCTGCGGTCCCCCAAAAAATTGGAAATACTATCATTTGATTGTTCTAGAGTGCTTTAAAATTTCAAAAAGAAACTTTATCTTAAGTAAAGGGTCATTTAAAAAAATTTTCTCGTATTTTCCGGAAAGAAATTTCGCAATCTTCTGATTTGAGAGAGATTTTTATAATCGCAGATTCGGCTTTTATCAAAGTCGAGTTTGAGTCTCCTAAGCAAAGTCTTAGCTAAAAAACTTGCGGTAAAATTTCGTTTAAATGATTGATGAAAGTTGTTGTCCAAGAAAAACGGCCTAAGAGTATAAATTTTAAGCACAAAACGTTGTCGAATTATTT